ACGAGCGAGCCTTAGGCGCCTCCCCTTCTGATTTCCTCTCACGCCCACTTGCAACAGCGAAGGGGGTTGCTTTCCTTCTCTTTCGGCTTTTGTCGTTTCACGTTAAAACTTAACTAGTAAGAACCGGCGCCGACTTGGGTAAGTTCCCTTCTCCGGTTTTGGGGCAGATCTGACAAGCGGGAGGGCGCTTGGCCCGCTCGCGTGGTGGGGTGCGTGTGTTTCTGGCCGCGCGGTTTTGCTCGGTCTGTCGCAACGGGAAGGAGGCGTAGGAGGGGATTAAGCGTGGCTCCTAGCGAACGGGAAAACCCAACCAGGAAGGAGGAGGAGGCGGCGCCGGCAAGCGCAGCCTGCATGACCTGCCAGCAGCAAGGAGGAACCTCCGGGATCTCCGCGTCAGCAGCAGCCCCAGCGATGTGCATACAAGGGAGGGTGTGCGTGTCTCTGTCCTGGAGGGATGGGCCTCTGCAGGGGGGCGTGCGACGGGCACCCGGGCTGGGGCGGGAGCGGCAACACTGCCGCCGCTTGCCTCGGGAAGGACCTTTCCTCCCTCCGTCGTTTACACCCAGGGAAGTTCGGACTTTTGCCGGGGGAGGGAAAGCACCCAAACCCCCGAGTTCCTACGCCTGGTAGCGCGCTCTCCTTGCTTTAACCTTTTCTTTACTGCTCGCGAGGGAGTTCTCTTTCGCCAAGGAGAGAGCGAGCCGTGGAGACCTTATGTAAGGGCTTCTGGGCTTGCAAGCTGGGGACTGCTCAGCCAGAAGGAAGACCCCCTGAGCGCTGACGAGCTACCTTCGTGGTCGCGTATAGGGCTACCTATGCGTGGGGGGGGGGCGGGGGTGCCAGACGGAGGGCAGCTTCCGGGAAAAGCTTTTATCGCACAGGTACTCAGTTTTATCCATAGGATGATATGATGGGGTCAGATGAAGTCTTTCCTCTTATTTCTCTTCACAAATTCCTTCATTTTTCTTTCTAGAGAAAATCTGTTAAAAAAGTAAAAAACTCCGGGGTGATGGCACCATCCCCGTGGAGTGCTAGCATTAGAAGGCATCTTCTCCTGTGAATCACTCAAGATATAGTGGACAACCACAACAGGTAACCACAGTGGCAAAAATAAGATCACGCTGATGGAGCATTCTTTGAACATGGTCCCCTTAGGATCTGGCTGGTGCTGAATAAATGGGGAAATGTGTTTCTAATTCTAATTCCCTACTATTTCTTTTTTATTACTTTCCTGGTTTTGTCCATTAAGAAAAAATCCAAAATTACTGCAGTATCTTGTAGAAAGGCTGTGCTAGTGTTTCTATAATTAAATTTAATAGCAGGAGCTGTACAGTATCACCACATAATTTTTCACAGTTTATTACATTTTCCAATACTTTTGTGTCTTTGACCAGATTTAATAGTAGATTTTAATTTTACTCCAGAGTTAGGCAGAAAGAAGATTGTGGCCCACCTAGTGCTTTCTGTTTGGTGGGTGTCTTGAAATGAAGGATCTGATTTGTCCTGGCATTTTTTCTTTTTCTAAACAAGGCTTCTTCCTCAGTCTATTTATGCCTTAATTAGCGATAGAAATTTAGCATATATATGCCATTCATTTAGAACACTTGGGAAGATTGGGGAAATCTTTATTTAAAAAAAGAGGAAGAGAATGACTGTGCAAGCTGGCCAGTCAATAACTGTATGTGAAAAAGAACCTGTTAATAAGCACTTGCAGTAAAATTGGGGTGTAGCTTGCTGCTGAAACAGACAGTGCTAAAAGGTGTTGTAAAGTAAAATATTTTTGCTGAAGTTTCAGCCTTTTAACCCCCAAGTCAGCCGGGCTGGGAATTCTGGGAGCTGTAGAGCCAACACAGCTGGAAGGCCAGGCTGGGAAGACCCGCACATAGTTTTGGAGTTTAAAGAACGTTCAGAGCAATGGTGGTTAAAAACCCAAGGTCGCTGCCCCCTGCGAAGGTGCACAGCTCCCTTCAACCCAGGGCTTTCCAGAAGGGCAAATGCTGCCTCCGAGCTGCTGGGATTCTTCGGATGGCGACGATCTGGAACGGTAGCAAAGGAATTCCCCCTCCCCCCTCCTGCTTTAAATTCTTAGTTTCACTTCTGCTCTTCCTCGTCGAGGTCCAGAGGAAGCGAGGAAACCCCCTCAGCCACCCCTTCCTTCGTCAAGTCCCGCCCCTTCTCTGCTAGGCAGACGGAGAAGGGGGCGGGGCCCGGGAGACCCGATGACGTCACCCGGCCCGCTTCCTGCAATAGAAAGTGAGGGAAGGTAAAACAACCCCCCTTTCCATTTATCTCCTCTCCCCCAAAGGCCCGGAGGTGTAGCCCATCGCGCGCTCGACTCTCCCCCGCCCGCCCCTGCT